GCGTACCTCATAGTTCCCTGCCTCCAAAGTTCCTCCTGAACTCCGGCAGAGCTCCTGCAATCGCCCTGTTATCGGTCATGTCTAGTTTATGTGATTGATTGTCTGAACTTTTGAGTTAGCAAAAACTCGGGACTGTCTTAGTGAAAATACACCATCAGTTATTTTTAATCAAGAAATTAGGTGTCTGAGAGGCTCATTGCAATGAGAAGAATGAAGGAGGATGGAGGAGGTAAGCACCATCCCACAGTGGCAACGTCTCCCTCCTCTCCAATGCTCAGCATTCTCTTCATTTTTTACCTCTGTTTTAGCATATAAAGTCCAAAATAACAATTCCAAAATGAGAAATAGTATAATAATAATAATAATAATAATAATAATAATAATAATAATAATGATAAATAACAAAAAAAATAAATAAAAAAAAATAATGATAATAATAATAATAATAATAATAATAATAATAATAATAATAATAGTAACTTAATAGAATAATGATATGGCGAGATGACAAATTCAAGATTGCAAAGTCACATTGAAATCCACGAGGTCTAACACTATTCGGAATGTAGTAACGTACTGTCATTCCACTAACGGAAAACCAGGTACTGAATCCGAATGTCGGTGAGAGCCTACTCTCACAACCACTCGCGTACATATCAGGGGCTCTTCCTCCTACTTGATGCCCAACGTCCAACCTACGATGACACAACTTACTAGCAACCTACGAACCGACAATGCATCCAGTTGATGTCAGCAGCAGAACCGGAGTTCATGATAATGTCGACCTTTGTAGATCATTTATTGCCAAGGTCAGGTACGTCTCTCTCTCCAACTCTCTTTCTGTGTGTGCGTCAGTCCGTTTTGCGTCTGTCAGTCTATTTGCTTGTTTGTGTCTGTCTGTCTGTTTGAGTGTTGTATTTGTCTGTATCTGTCTTTTCTCTCTCTATGTCTTGTCTGTCAGTTTGTCTGTCTGTATCAGTCTGTCTGTTTGACTGTTGTATTTGTCTGTATCTGTCTTTTCTCTCTCTATGCCTTGTCTGTCAGTTTGTCTGTTTGTCAATCTGATTGTTCCTATCTGTCTTGTTTTCGCTGCCTGTCTTGTCTGTTTCTAACTGTCCGTTGTTGCCCACATCTGTCTATCTGTTTGTTGCCTGCATTAGTCTGTCTTCTTTCTCTCTCTCTATATTTTCCTCCTCTTCTTCTTCTTCTTCTTATTCTTCTTCATTTTCTTTTCCTTCTTCTTATTTTTCTTCTTCTTCTCCTTCTTCTTCCCTTTCCGTCTTCCTTGCTTCTATCTCCATCTTCCTTTTGCACGTGCAATGGACCTCTTAGTTCAACACCAGTGAGTGCACGTATTCATACCACCTGCATGTATGAGTTCACACGAAGTTCTCACTGAAGATCAGAGAGATTAAGACCAAGTAACGTAGCTTATGAATTCCAACAAGTCATTCTAAGAGCAATAAGAGTTCCAAGTCACCAGCGTTCGTCAGCGCATATCAAGGGAACCAATGAACAACATAAGTTGTCAGGGAAGTATCTCTTTTCCCTATGCTCTTCTCTCTTAGGTATCACCTCTCCTTACTGGTCTTCTCTCTGGTTATGTCCTCACTGTGTCTTCTCCCCCTGCATGCGAGCACACACACTAACTACTATTCAAGGAACCACTCTGAATACACCCACTAATATGCCTGCTAACCCTCTAAAGTCTATTACTAACACTCTGCACCGGTGCAGCTACGACTGCCTTCTTCCTGCCAGCGCAATCTCTTCCTCTCTCTCTCTCTCTCTCTCTCTCTCTCTCTCTCTCTCTCTCTCTCTCTCTCTCTCTCTCTCTCTCTCTCTTAGCGCAACACTCTGGCTTCAGCGCTCTGCCCCTCACTAAAGCGTACAATTGCACCTGCACTTCTACACTTCTTGCGGATGAGCAATCTGACGAATGAGGAGGCTGGCCAATCCTTTCATAGTCCTGGATTGCACTTCAACTCGTGCCAGCCTCTGTTTCTTGGGTTTGCTTTAGAATGTCAAGGCCTGGGACCTTCCCGAATAACTTTCGATCTCGGCATATAGTTTTGACTGAGGACTGTGACTCCTGCTTCTGAGACACGACCCTTGCCTGTGGAACGACCCTTTTGCTCCTGGGATGTGACTTTTCAATATGACTTTTCATTATGAGACGCGACTCTTCCCTCTAAGATAAGACTGTTTGTTGAGTGTCTGTTGGACTGGGCTGCTGGAGTATCCGACTGTGACTTTTTCTGAATTTGACGAACTCGGCCTCTCTTGAGCAGGGCCTCTGTCCCTGAGGCCCGAATTTGTGGCCTGAATCGTAGAAAGCCTTTTTCACTGATATCAACAACAATAAAAAATAATAATAAAAAAAATAATAATAAAATTAATAATAATAATAAATATTAATAATAATAATAATAATAATTATTATTATTATACTAATGACAATAATAGTAGCGATAATAATAACAATAATATCAATAATGATACTTATTGATAGTAATAATACTAAATAATAATAATGACAATAATAATTGTAACAAAACTTAGTGTATACAAGCTATATTTCCGGCCAGTTACAGTCGAACACACACATGCACATGTAGTATTGTATGGTTTCGTATTCTAGTGGTAGGTTCTACTTATTCAGCTCATACTATCGATTGAAATAGCGTGAGGGCCCCCACGCCTCACACACGCATACACATACACAAACACACTCACAAACACACACACACACACATACCCTGGTATACAAACGCACACACAAGTGCAGTAATGTATACTACCATGTTCTAGCGGTAGATTCATTCGATTTTGCTCATCCTGTCGACGAAAGGAGCGTGAGGTTAGCCGCGGGTTCGGGAACTTTCCCGGTTGTTTGGTGCGTTGCTCATCCTATCGATGGAGAACTCTCTCTCTCTCACCCGCACACACACACATACACACACTCACACACGAGCAAACGAGTGTGGCGGTGTACATTCCCACATTTTAGCAGTAGATACATTCGCTTTAGATGGCGGTAGATTCTTTTGATTTTGTTCTCCCTACTGATAGAAGTTCTATGGAGTGGACCGTGGGATTAGAGACTTACCTTCTCTCTCTCTCGCTTCACAACACATTGCGGCCACACCACGGTCACAATGGGCACAACGCGCATTCCAACAAGTAGGCAATGACGGGCCCAACCTCACAGCGCCAGCATCGACAGCAAGGGAGGGCGCTCCTACTACCAGGTAAGTCGCCCGCTCCCCTCATCTCCTCCTCCTCCTCCTCCTCTTCTTCTTCTTCTTCTTCTTCTTCTTACTCTTATTTCCTACGTTCTACTTCTGCCTCCACGCTTCTTTCTTCCCGCGCGTACTTTTCTGTCAACGCACACTATCTCTCCCTGCTCCCGCTCGCTTTTCTTCCCGCGGGCACTTTTCTGTCAACGCGCGCTATCTCTCCCTGCTCCCGCTCGCTTTTCTTCCCGCGCGCACTTTTCTGTCAGCACGCGCTATCTCTCCCTGCTCCCACTCGCTTTTCTTCCCGCACGCACTTTTCTGTCAACGCGAGCTATCTCTCCCTGCTCCCGCTCGCTTTCTTCCCGCGTGCATTCTCTGCTGACTTGCGTTTGCTCTGCGCGACCCTCCCCTCATCGCTCTTCTTTCTCCTCCTTCTTCTTTCTCCTTTTTCTTCTTCTTCTCCTTCTTCTTCTTCTTCTTCTTCTTCTTCTTCTTCGTCTATTCTCTTTTCTTGGGCTGCTACCTCGCCATTTCCATGGCGTGTTGTCTCCGCTGCTCCCGTTCTTGCATGCTCGTGCCTCCTTCCCCCGTGCCTCTTTCTACCGCGCGCCTTTTTTTTTGCTTTTTCCCGACGTCCTCCCCTTACTTTCTGTTGCGCTCGCTGTCCGTGCGCTGTTGCGCACTCGCTGTCCGTGTCCGTGCGATGCTGCGCACTCGCTGTGTTGTCCGTCGAGCGTTCAGCCCGGGCACGCGAACCAAGGTCTCGGACGCCGAATTCAGACGGAATCAGACCTTGTGGAATGAATTCGCCCGTCTATCAGGTGCAAATTCATTAAAGGCGGATCAGCGGAGAGCAGCTCCGAGATAAGAGAAAAGAAATGAATGAATGAATAAATAAATAAATAAATAAATAAATAAGTAAATAAACGAATCTAACTAATAACAGAAAAATAAAAATAAATTAACGGAAAGAATCTAACCACTAACTACTCCTACCTGCCAAGTGTAATACACTCGTTTTCAGAGGGCTAACTAACACTAACTCTAACTACTTTCGAATCCGAGGGCTAACTAACACTAACTCTAACTACTTTCGAATCCGAGGTCACGGGTTCGAGCCCCGACAGACTTCGTGCGGCGTGAAAACGGGCGGCCCCAGTGCTGCTCCCTATCAAAAGGAGATAGCTCAGGGTCAGTTGGACTCGTGACAATACAGACCTGTACCTACTGAGCTAACTCCTATTTCCAATAGAATAGGAGCTGCTCAGCTATAAGTAGAACAGGGCCCGGGCCAACTAGTGGAACGAGGGCTCGGATAAGTACCGCCGTTCAACGGCAGTAGGCATTTTAAGCTTTTATAGTCTCCCCGACCGTATGGCCGGGGCCTATATTAATTTCATCCACCTAAACCTTACCGACACTTAGTTTTTCCCGTATCGTAGGCTTACATCGACAAAACGCTAACCCAAACCGACCTCTCGCCCTCGGTGGTCGAGGGGCTTATAATATTTTTATGCTTCCTACTTCCATCGCGCACCGCGTCCAAGCACGCGCCTCTTACATTTTTTCGTCCTCGCTGCCTTTCGGCTACCGCGGTGGCTCGTAGGGTTACTTTAATTGAACAGAACCCTCGACCTTTACGGTAAAAGGGTATTATTAACAATTCTAACTACCGTGCGCTGAAATATAGTGCTTGTGTACTAACCAAAAAAAATTCCTGTGGATTCGCCTCGGACTGAAAGGTCGAGGGAACCGTTCTAAAGTACTGCACGAAAAAAATTGCACATTCTATCTTCAGACCGTCTCCCTCATGGTAGTTGGTGCCGACGTCGTGTTGACTGCAAAATCATGAGCGGATACCCTTTTAAGGGTATCAACTCCGACACCGGTAACAACCCCTCACAGGAAAAAGAGGCGGACACAAAGGGGATTGAGCGAATGGATGGTGAGGGAGAAGGTAAGGCAGAGGGTGCAGAGGGTGGCATAGGGAGAAAGGAGGAGGAGGGGAAGTTGGTAAGGGGTATTTCGATGGCTGAGGGAGAAGGAGAGGGGAGAGGGGAGACTGAGGATAAGATCGATAACAACCCATCACAGGAGAAAGAGGCGTCAAAGGAGGGTAATGTTGATCAAACGGAGACTATAGATGCCTTAGGTCTGATGCACCTAGTTAATAAACTAGACTCGGAAGCCCTTGGTTTCGTGCGTGTTACAGAAGAAGCTGCAAAACCCCTGGAATCGCACATGCAAGAGGTGAGGAGACAAGAGGACAACCATGAGGAACAGATGATACAAAGTGTGGAGGCGGAACTAAAAGGCAAGGAGCTGAGTCTGGAGGACTCTACAGCCTCGGAGGAGGTTGGGCGAAAGATTCGGTTCAAGACGAAGGAATCTGCCAAGAAAGTAGGTACGAAACCTTCGAAGAAAACCAAGAAATTGGACCGAGAGTTGCAGAATGCAGACTCAGAGGTGATACGCTCCCGTGACTCTGTGCCATGAATACTTTCCCTGCTAAAAAGAGAAGATTAGATAATGGTTTGATGATGCTACGTAAGTACTACGTAGAAGAGCAGGATGAGAATATGAAAAGCTTGGAAATTGGGCCGGTGGATAACCGAAAGAGATCACTTGGGGCAAGAGCAAAAAAACAGGAATTGAGCTTCGCTGCACCAATGAAGACACTGTCCAGAACGGACAAAGCTAATAAAACGGTCAAAGAAGTTTTTATTCCTCTAATCTGCACGACCACCCAAACGGGTCTGAGGATTTTGACGACGAAAGCACTGGATGAGATCTTGGAAATTCCATCGATAGCGGTGCAACACCAGCCGACAGAAGAACAAATGGTAAGATAGACCCAACTCCTAGTTTTAAGGGGAATGGGTATTGTTGCTGTTAGGCAAGAACCGAAACTGGGGAGGCATCTGGTGACCTTATAGAGTGGGAAAAAAACGATGCTCCATCTAGCTTTCCTGAGTCTGCTGGCATTGGAAGGGTCCAGGGATCAATGGCAGCAGTTGAACACCCATTGGCTCCCGATTGAATCCTTTCTGGCTTCAGATATTGAGGCATTGACAACGATAAGAATGGGGGGGGAACTGAATGCACAGCATGTCGCTGAGTGGCTGAACCTGATAGATGCAAAACATTATTTAGCCCCAGAGAACCTACCTCTGATGCAGTGGGTTCCGGACCCCAACGAAGTTGACCCGTCGTATCTGGCGGGGAGTAATATGATGGAAGAGCAGCAGGACAACCGTATCCAAGTTTTAGGCGGCAATGGCCAAAATGATGGTCTTGCCCAACAAGATTAGAGTTCTGAGCTGTAACATCGGGGTTTTGGGTGACACGTCAGATAGGAATAAAAAAAGTTTGGTGGCAGCCTGGCTCCACACTGAAAACGTTCACATCACATGTCTTCAGGAGACCAAGCTGAATACAGATAAGATAGAGGAAGCGAAGCGGTGGTGGAAGGGGCCCCAATTCTGGGCCCCTGCAGACGGGACACGCGGCGGTGTGGCCATACTCATTAATAAGGATCTAGAAGTAGATGTTGTAGATCATTTTGCCGACCCCAGGAAGGATGGTTTGGGTCAAATTGGTAGTGGACAATGAGGACTGGGCAATTATGTCAGTGTATGCCCCAGTTGACTATAAGGAAATAATTGTTTTTTTTGCCTCTCTACCCTTCTAGATTCCGGACGTTGAAAACATTATTATGGTTGGCGGCTGAAATACTATTCTCAATCCGGGTCTAGACTCACCAAATCCTACTCCTATTAGAGAAGATACCTTAATGTTGTCGACACTTATGGATACGAAGAACCTTTATGATGTGTATAGGGTTCTGAATCCAAATTCGAATGGGTATACGTGGTTCGGTCCTATCTGTCGGTATAAAACTAAAACTGGTGTTCGGATTCAGCAGACAAAAGTTGTTAAGAAGCCAATAACAGTGGCAATGAGCAGACTTTCAAACCTACAAATGTCATCGATGGTAGAAGAAGACTTATACAGGTTGTGGAAAGCTCTGAGAAATTTACCATCTCCAAAATAGACGTCAATTCAATGACTTCAATCTCTGCAAATCATCCCGTCGGCCCGATGAGTTAATACAAAGGGAATTGACATTTCAACAACATGCGTCCAGTGTAATTGGGGATGGGAGTCAGCCTCCCACATTTGGCTGCTGTGTCCATTGTCTGATAAAGTCTGGGAGTGGTGGAAAGAGTTTTGGAAGAATACGAAAATGTCCTTCCAGTGGGAGGATGACTTTTTGTTGTATGGTAAACTCCCTACGAATGACAATGTAGGCATGGAGGTGATTTATGTGGCCTTATGTTGCAGAGGCATTGTCATGGAGACGATATGGGGGGATCGTAACGCTAAGGTATTCCACAACGAAGAGATACTGTTCCCTTAGACAGTGAATCAGATAAAGTCTATCATCAGATTGACAGTGTATGCGGACAGGAGAAAGAAAAATATTAATTGGTTCTGCAAAACGTGGGTGAAGGGTAATTTTGTTAAGATCTCGAGGGTAGGGAGTTTGGAATTTGCTCCGTGGTTGAGGGGGGAGTAGGTGACTGGTAGGACCGGGCCTCGAGCCCCGAGGGGAACGGAAGACAGGAACAGTCTCTATTTGGGGAACTTTTGGCTTTTGGCTTTTGTAGAGGCCGCTATAGGCCTCGAGTACATGGACAATAATAGTTGTTCATAGCCAGGATTTTGGTCGTAAAGCTGGTCTTTTTCCAGTTGAGTTTAGATGGCAACAAGTTGGCTCAGAGAGCTCCTTTTACCGTGCTTCAAGGTTTAATTTTTGGGAAGTGATTTGTAGCTTGGGACGCTGGACGGGTTTCCAACATTTGGATGGCTTAGCATATTTTGAGTAGTTGGCTGGCCAGGGGGCCAAGTCGGTAAGCTAAACTGGCTGAGGCTGCCAGGTTACCTCCGGGTTGAATTGTGAGGTTTCCGGCCTCGTTGCATTTTGAGCAATAAATTTCTTGCTTTCAAAAAAAAAAAAAAAAAAAAACTCTAGTGGCGGCAAAGCCGAGTGCTATCAGCAGCACTAATCCTAGCGCAAATTCGCCATCTAATCACGATTTAGGGTTGGGACTTGGCGCTCAGCCGATGTGCTCTCTGTCGTACTGCAGGGCCAGTCGGCTATGACGGTGGTCATGAAAAACTAACTGCACGTGCCCGTAGCGCATCTTAGTCACAGTGCGCCTCACAACAGCCTCCCCCTAGGCGCCTGGTGTTGGAAGAAGTTGATAAAGGTGTTCACAACCATTAATCTTGTACTCTCCCTCTGTGGTCTCGTACCTAATCGGAGTTAGTGTCCAAACCACCTCCTTCCTTCAAAGCAAGAAGGATTGTGGTTTGGAATTGGTTGAGCCTCCTGCAACTCCCATATCACTGCTTGGGCGAATTGACGTCTGCTCTTCAGGACCGCTTCAAGAAGATCCAGAATTCTCCAGGCCACACGCAGCGTCTTCAGGTATAAACCGCGTCCTCCATTAATAGACGTTGAAGTGTTGAGTCATGATTGTGATTTGTAGTAAGCGTCTGTGCAGCTATTCAGCCATCTTCCTCTTTACCCTCATTGCCGACTTTCCTTGGGTATTGCTGAGCAAGATACAAACCACTTGAGTGCGAATCCATGTCTCCTGAAGAACAACAGAGGGTTTGGGATATACTTAGCAAATGTTATAGTACGGGGTTACTCGTCGAATCCTTGGCCCCATGGGTGGTGGAGGAAGGCCCTGATTTCACGAGGGTCGTGGTAAACAAGGATATCTATAACGTTCAGGCGGATTGGCTAAGATCCCACGCCGTCTCTGTGTACTTTGGAAACGATTCCACCTCTTTCTCAGTTTCGGTCAAAAAACGTCTCGTAGGAATCTACGAAGACGGCTGGGCCAGATCCGGGGAGATCGGTGCTCCTCCCAAGCGGGGATTGTTTAGGAATGAAGGTAAAAATCTGGTGACGTACTTAGCTAGTGCCAAAGAAATAGCTATGTGGATGCTCCGTCAAGGCTCGAGCGATGTGGAACTTGATGACAAGAAATACACCATCACGTTCAAGCCTTGGATGTTGGAATCCGAGCTTGAACAATGGCGCCAATCAATGAAATTTAAGTTTTTTTGGATCTGTCTCCTACAAGTGTCAATCTCGGCACTCCCGCACCTTAAGGGAACAATAGAAAAAACGTTAGGTAATATCCTCAAATCTTACGAAGCGTATTCAGATCCCTTGTCTCCCACATCTGGAACGTTCGGTTCGGCATGGAACCTACAGTCTGGCTTCGGTACAAGAGATAGGTCATCATAGACATGGAAGATGATGGCTTCGTGAAACTGGAAATGGTCTGCGCTACGACGCTGTGACAAACTATTTTCTGCAATCGCACGACTTTCTGCGCGAAGCGATTTCGGGGGTTGGAAACTGGTTGGTCGGGTGAAAGATGGAGGGTTGGCCCGCCAAGTTGTATGGATATCCTCGCTTCTTTCTTTCTTTGCTTTCGGGACCAAAGCCGGAAAAGTCCCTCAACGACGATTGAGTGACCGTGATAAATAACGGTTGCCATAATTTTTTTCTTGTTCTGCTGTGGGAGATGAGAATTTTGGCGCGATTAGCGCGGGGGAATGTCGTTTCAAATTTACAATGGATGACTGACTCTTGAAATTGTTTCTTTTAAAGCTTTTTGGAATTTTTTTTGCAAATAGGATTTAAACTAGGAATTTAGCTAGGTTACCTGATCGGACGTCCGGGACCCCCCTGACCGTCCGGGGTTGTCCGATCGGACAACTGGGCGGACGTCCTCCCCGGGCAATCTGTCCGAGCCCCAAAAAAAAAAAAAAAAAAAAAAAAAAAAAGCCCCAGAAAAATCTGGAAAAAAGTATGTTATATAGAAAAATAAACTGAACAACTTTTGCCTTGGAATCATATCGAAATTCGCTTCAAATTTTAAAATAAAAAATAAAATAATATAAAAACCTTATTTTTTTTTACTTTTTTTTTGCTTTTAATTGCTAAAAATGGAGTTGTCCGGGCCCGGACGTCCGGGACCCCCCTGACTGTCCGGCTAGGACGTCCTGCCATCGGACAACTGGTAACCTAGGAATTTAGGTGCTTTGGGATTTTGTTGCGTCGCGCTTTTTCCTCGCGCACCTCTCACCATATGGAACTGGGCTCTGACTGTATCGTTCCCTTAATCCTACATGTAACTGTAATTTTTGGTGGGCGTGATTGTAACTGTACTCCTTCTTGATTCTCTCGTGCTTGCCCGCCTTCTTCCCCTCTGTCATGTATACCTCGTCCTCCACTCTAATTGGCCTGAGCGACTGCATGACCGGATCGATGCGTGGAGTGTGGATGCGTCCCCCATGCCGTGGCTTGGCCATGCAGGCGTAGGCACTTCCTTCTCTTCCCCTTCCCCTCACTTAGGCATAATCCCGAGTTCATCGCGCCAGCATGCACGCTATAAAGTTCGCAAGCGCGATTAGTTTGCTCTCTCAGAATTTGGAAGTTAGCGCGGCCAGTGAGGATCGGCTAACAAGTAAGTGAGAAGATGAGCCGAAGTGAGTCGGGCAACCTGACGAGCTGGTGCCGGGTAGGCGGGGTTGATGTGCGGGCCACGACGAACTGTGACGCACGGGCGAACCGGGCTTGTGTACTCGGGCTAAGCGGGGTGACGACTTGGTGTTGGTGCGAGGCAACTG